TCTGCGTAATAATTCACAAGGAAATTTTATGTAGAAGTCTACTTTATGCAAACATCTTAAAGTTAATTATATTTTGAGATATACTAAAGATTGTTGGTAGTTGGAAATTGATTTAGAATTAAATGAAAAGAGTTCATAAGGTCATTAATTTGGCTTAGGTGGGAACTAGCGTAACTAGTGTGATAATGGACGCAAAACGGGATAAATTCTACAAAACCTCTACCAAGTTGGTAAAATGAAGTTGAGCCAGCTCGAAGCAGCTAACGAGAACGAGGCAAAACCAGCTTGATCCTCATATTTACTCACCGTTTATATTTGGAGTCTCCAACTTTTTAGAGGTTACACTTGGTGAAGATGGTGAAGCCCGCGACGCTGATATGGTCGATATATTAGTAACGTTTCTAGTAGGTGAGTCATTCTCGACAGTCGATTGATCCATTTCAGATGCATTCTGAGCGCATATTGTTACAACGGAAACTGGAGGTTCAGGCACACGAATGAAACGGATGTCCGTTTCTCCGGCATCAAATTTTCCAACTTCGTCACGAACAGGGCTTTTCTGCTTGTCGAGGACTCTCTCCAGCCATCGAAATATGGCCAGATCGCGTTGATGATGAGCATCGAGCCGTGGGTCAATATGATGCGGGGAGTCAATGGTTTTGGTAGAGGCAGGGGTGGATAACCGACTTAGATGGTTTAAACAACCATTTTTACGGTTCTCTGGGGTTTTGTTTGTCTCGTCAAGACCATTAGCAGAGGGCTTGCTTGACATATCACCAACTGTAGCTTTGGCCACTGAATCATCACCGGGGCCTCTGTCTTGGTTTATTATCGGCTTCTGAGAGACAGTATGGTCTGAATGTAATTTAGCTTCTAGATTTTCAGAGGGAGATTCTTTGGAGAGATTGAAACCAAGCTTGCCAAGACGCTCGACGAGTTTGCTTACGAGAAGCTCATCGCGTTCGAGAAGGAAGGCGTGATGTTGCAGAAGTTTAAATATACTTTGAAGATTGTCACTATTGAGAGAAATACAAACGTTAAATGAGACGTGCGATTCAATTCGAGGCAGCTCAAAGAAGAATGTTTTATGAGATGTGTTCATCCTATATCGTTCAAGACGATGTAGTACAATGTTCCCACAATTATATGAGTAGGCCCCGTGTTCCCATTGTAATAGGATGAATAGATCTTATATATGATCTACTGGCAG